CTTGACGAGGGCAGAGAGGAGTGTGTGAGCTTTCATAGCCAGGAACGGGTACAGAGCACTAACTTAGCTCAGAGGGAGTTAAAAAAGTATTTATTTGTGTAAGTTTTTGCACTTCCTGTTTTAAATCACTGGTTTTCCTGAAGTTTTTTTTTTTTTTTTAATCTCAAGTTTCTGATACAACCTTTCATTTCATTTACTGTGTTTTTCAGAATTGGTAGGGTGCCACAGGGAACATACAGACATTTTCCTTTTTTTTTCTAATTCAGTAGGTGATTTCAAAAGTCTGGTTAACAGGGGACTGTCATTCACCCAGAGTGGTGAATGTACTGCCAGAGGAATTTGCTTTTCCACTTGAACAGGGTTGTAAGCTTGTGGAAGGTAGAACCACTGGTCACCCTGACCCCCTTAGAAAAGCAAATTTGGCACAGAAGATGCTTCCAGTAAATACTTTGTGGGAACATCTTGAAAATAGTCTTATGTTCTGAGCATTTCTGAACTTGAGAGTGCATTTTAGGTGGCACTGTTCAAAAACATGTAAACGTTTTGTATTTATTTATTTTTTTATTATTTTTTTAAATATTTTATTTGTTTAGTAGCACAGAGGGAGAGGGAGAACCAGACTCCCCGCTGAGCAGGGAGCCCTACGTGGGGCTCCATCCCAGGACCCTGAGATCATGACCTGAGCCAAAGGCAGACCCTTAACCAACTGAGCCACCCAAGTGCCCCAAACATTTTTGAAAGTATTTAATCTCTACTTTGCACATTCAATGAAGGACTTGCATAACATCTTTTAAATTAATGGGAAATTTAGCAAAACATTTCCCACATCCTTTAAAAAAAAAATCATGTGAAATGTTCACTAATAAAACAGGAAATAGAATGGTTTTGTGAGACCAGAAATTTTCTGATTCTGATAGACACGAGAAACTTAGATTCTACAAATAATAAGTTAGTATGATAAAAGATTTGAAATACAAATAATGAATGTTTAGAAAGCATTTTAATTGTTATATAGTCCATGAGTGTATGGATACATGCATCTATATAATACATGTGTGTCATTAGACATAATTCACCATGAGATGAGAACTAAAGCTGTTTTCCCAAGAAGTACTTGGCTATTGCATTTCCTAGGCAGAGAATCTAGAAACTACTGATTTTTGGAAATGTTGAAACATGAGCAAGTAAAACTTTTTCCTGCTTTATTATTTTGAGTTCAGTGTCAGGGTGGAAGTAATTTTATTACTCAATAATGAAAACATTTGAATAGAAAAACTTAGGTGAAAAATTAGTAACATTTTATCCAGATAATATATCCTAATCTGGTCAATCATACAATTAAAAATTCCCTAATATTCCTAAGTTTTTTTTTTTTAATTTTCTAACGATTTTATTAAGTAATTTCTGTACCCATCGTGGGGCTCAAGCTGTCAACCCCAAGATCCAGAGTTGCCTACTCTACTGACTGAGCCAGCTCGGCACTCCAGTATTCTCAAATTTTTCACAACTGTTCATAATTAGCAACAAATTCAATATTCATGCTCAAAACAGAATGAAGATTTGTCTTCATTTCATAGCAATTCAGTAGAAGACCCATCATTGAGACCTCTTGCAGAAAAATTTAGACAAAGAGCAGTATCTCTAGCTGCTTTTTGTTGATGCCTCTGTTGATGGGATTTTGATTCCTTAAATTCTTTAAAGTTCTTAATGACTTTTAAAATCCTGCCTTCCTGTCTGAAAAAAATACGGCAGTTTATTCAGGAGTTATCTAGAAGCCTTTGACAGGAAGTAGGAATGTTTGCAAACGTTTAAAAACCTACAGAAGAAGAAAAGAATTTTCTGGAACAAATTGATGTCTCCAAATATAAGTACTAGAAAGCAGCAATGGAATCAGACATCTTCATCTGTGAGAGAAATAGCTAAAGACATATATTAAGCTAAAAATGATTGCATAAATAATTTCAAGCAGTATGTAAGAAGGTTTTGGTCTAGTTAGGCAGTATTGGGAACTTCAGTTTTCCCAGTTTTTATCAAGATGTGCAAGTTTAACAATGATCCTCTATGACAGTATCTTAAAGCCTCAGATGGATCTGAGGTCCTCAAATGCATCTTTTCTTGATTACTGAAACCAGGTGATGGGAGCCTAAGAGTTCACTATGCCGGTCTATTTTTGTATATATTAAAAATTTCCCATAATTAAAAAAAAATAAACTGTCATAATACCTCTCTTGTTCCTTACCAAGGTGTTTCAAATAATTAGTTTTTCCAGATAAATTGAAGTTTGTCAAAAGCCTGTGATGCCCATGCTGGTTGAAAATCATGCCAAGCCATTTTCCCCATGCATCCTTTCAAAAGGGCACTGAGGTGATCTTTGTGATGGTCCAACAATCCCTTTGTGGTCTGCAGGCTGCCCCGCAAGTCAGCTCACCTGCTCCCTCAGCAGCCAGTCAGCTAGGGGCCTTTTTTGGTCTTCCCTTTGGCTCTGACCTGCGTTCCTTCTCTGCAGAGAGCCTCCTGGCAGCCAGAGGGTCTTGTCCCACAAGGTTGTTCTGGAAACCAGAACTATAACGTTTTTTTCCTAACCTACTCTCTTTTTCCCAATTCCAAACTTCTTATCTAGTCTTTTTGATTACAGCAGAGACAAATATTGATGAAAATTTGTCAACATGCTTGCTTCTTGTTTTTACGTGAGGTTTACTGAAATACAACCTAGGTGTTATGAAATTTCACCCTTCTTTTTATACAGTTCCATGAGTTTTTGAAAACACCACAAAATAACAACACAGGATTTTCCACTGCCTGAAAAAGTTCCCTGGCCCTCCCTGCCTCGCCCCTCTCCTAGTCCCGGGAAACCATGGATATGATTTCTGGATGTGATTCCTGTACCTATAGTTTTGCTCTTTCATAATATTATATAAATGGTCTTAAATATGTGTGGGTATTTGGTTCTGGCTTCTTTTGTTTAGCATAATGCTTTTCTTTATTTCTTACTGCTTTGAAATAATTTTTGGTTTACAGAAATGTTGCAAAAAGAGTACACAGAGTTCCCGTATACTATTCATCCAGTTTCCCCTAAGATTAAGATCTTACCAATCTAGAAAACAAGGATCTAAACCAGGACATTGACACCGACTATTGACATAGACTATTCGCTACTCAGTACTGTACCCTAATTTGCAGGTTTCATTCAAATTTTGCCACTTCTCCCACTAGTGTCCCTTTTCATGTCTTGTATCCAATCCAGATCCCACAGTGCATTTCCTTGTCATATCTCTTTAGTCCGCAACCTGGGACAAGTGCCCAGTCTTTATTTTTCATAAACTTGGTAACTTTTTTTTTAAGAGTACTGGCCAATTTTGCTGGAGAATGCTTCCTCAATTGGAGTTTCTCTGATGTATTCTTAGTAGAACTAATACATTTTGGGGGAGAATACAGAAGTGAGGTTTTGCCCTTCGCACTGTATCCTCTAAGGAAGTAGAGGAAGTCAGTGTGTCTTATTACTGGTGATGTTCATTTTGATCGCTCAGTTAAGGTAGGGTCTGCTAGGTTTTTCTTCTTTCAAGTTACTATTGCATAATACTTTAAAAATTCACCCATGTTTTTGTGTGTATTCGCAGTTTGCTCTTTTCATTATGGAATAGTATTTTGTCGTATGGATGAACCACAGTTCTTTTGTGTGTGTGTGTGTGTGTTTTTTCTTTAACCCCTTTATAAGTCGATGAACGTGTGGTTTGCTTCCGTATTTTCTGTCCTGGTGCTATGCCGTGGACCCTGGTGTTCTGTTGAACATAGTGTTCACAGGACACCGACATCAGACAAGGCTCCCCCCATGACCACAGTGAATCAGCGTAAAAACAAGACAACTCCGTAATTAGGTCTGAACCCAGACAAAAACAAGAACATTTTCTAAACCACAATAAATGACAAAAACATCCTCCTCTCCTGGCGAGGAGCGACTGCTGCTCTCGAACCCAACTCAAACCCTGTTTTACTCATTGTACTTTTTAGGTAAGACACGCTGGGATAACCAAGGTATCCTGTCTCCTGACGGCTTGCAGTCCATAAGGAAGCCTGGCCCCCAGGAAATCTCGCTCACCTTGCTAACCCAAGCCCCGATCCTGTAATAAATCCTTTCTGTCACTGTTCTGACACCCTGCACGTCTTCATACTGCGGTTCTCTGTCCTTGCAACTTGCTCGACCACGACCACAGGTGTGTTTGTGGTCTTTAGCTGGAGAACGCGGATGCTGTAAACAACGTACAAACGCATGTATTGAAAATCTCTGCTGCTTCTCAAGTCTCTAACATCCTATTTCCCACCCCACCTTCAACTCTTTTTACTAATTAATTGGGAATTCCCCCCCTTTTTAATGCAAATGCAGATAAGTACTATGGTATATACTTCTACCTCCTTCCCTTTCTCTTACAAAACACGGTTTGCATCTGGCTTTTCCCCCCTCAACTTTTATTCTGGAAATGACTGTCAAGGTTCTAGAGAATGTCTTTGGATGCCTGGCTGGGTCACTCAGTAGAGCATGCAATTCTTGATCTTGGGGTTGTATTTTCAAGCCCTATGCTGGGCGTAGAGCTTCATTAAAGAAAAAAAAAAAGTGAAAAAATTAAAGGTTAGAGAGAAGGTCTTTATTTTTTTTATTTTAAACATGTGACATCTGCACAGTGGAATGATTTGTGGAGTGAACCTGACTTGTCACTAATAGGCTTTTTAAAAATTTTTTGTTTTATTTATTTTTCATTTTTAATTTTTTTTCATAACAGGTTTTTCAGCCTTGTCTTCCAGACATTTATTTTAACTTCTCTCAATATCCTCTACCCTGTGGATACCTGCCGTCACTTCTGAAGTCAGTGAGCTGTCTGCTTATAAATACTGAAATTAGCCAGCAAATCACATTGAATCACTTTGTTCATTTGTTTTTTTTTTTAATAGTAGTAAAATATACATAACCTAAAAATTTATGATTTTTAGGGGGACAGTTCTGTAGTGTTAAGTACATTCACATTGTTGCATAACTAATCTCCAGAACTCTCATCTCACAGAACTGAAACCCTATGCCCATTTAAAAAAAAAAAATTTTTTTTTTTTTGCCCATTTTATTTTTTAAACGATCTTACACTTCACATGCAGGAAAATTAACCCTTTTTTAGTGTGGTGTTCTGTAGATTTTGACAGACATGATTGTAAATTTTTGGTAAATGTGTTATTTTTCTGTTTTCTAGATCTACAGACCTTTAATTCTGAGTTCTTACAACAATTTACCCACCAGATAGAAGTCAGCCCTGCCAATTACCCTGTTGGTGTCACTGATCCAAATATTGACGGTTTTTCTTTCATAAAATTCCTCAGGGATGGATCAAAATTTACTAAATGTGCTTGAAGTTACAGGTTCCTTTGACTTGATGTCTTCTAGATCTTATTTGTTGTCCTAGGACAGACATGTCTTCTCTGCCCGGCTCCGTTTTCAGAATTTACATTCTCATAGAAACTGTATTTTGGCCAAAAATTGAGAAGACATACCTTTTTCTTACCTTTTTCATACCTTTTAAGAAGTAGCAGAACTCGTTTTTCAAGTGATTTTTCGCATCTCACGCCTTCCCCAGCCTGTAAGGTTGTGTTTCCCAAACTTGAGCATTCATCAGAATCAATGGGGACAGACGTGGGCCCCAGCTGCAAAGTTTCTAATTCAGTGGGTTTGGGGTAGAGCCCCTGACCTTGCATTTCTAACAAGATCTCAGGGGTTGCCAACCAAGGCTGCTGGTGGTGTGGGGACCAGAGTTTGAGAACCACTGCCCCAGGGCGCCTGGGAAACCGTTGGTTTAGAAGAGGAATACCATCCCTATCTGTTACTCATGATTTTTGTAAAGGGCATCCTTACATATATATGTACAACTACAAGCTGATTCTGTTTGTTTCTGTGGTTTTTTCCTAAAGCCCAACTCAGGAATTAGTGCCACAAAGAAAACCTGATGCAACCTCTTCAGATCCTTCCCCGCCGATTACTTTCCGGGCTGTACTGTGGACTGAAGTCTCCAGCCTCCTCTGGAACCCGGATTTGCCCAACAATGGCTCGACCAAGTTCAAGTAGGTCTTCCTCAGCCTGCCACCCCTAGTCTCTGGTAGAATGTGAAGAACCTGAGAGTTCTTGTACTTTGAGGGGGAATGTGGATAGCGGAGTGGGTCCTGGGCAAGATTTTAGAGAAAGCCACACTGGTGTTCTCCCCTCAGGCAAACCCCTTGCAGGATAGGTCTGAGATCATCTCTCTGTGGTCAAGTTGAAGTCCTTTGGAAACATTTTATTGCTTCTCCCAGAATATTTGCATTCAAGCTTCTCACATGGGATTTGTCTTTTTTTATTATTATTTTCTTAAAGATTTTATTTATTCATTTGAGAGACAGAGACAGAGACAGAGAGCAGAGGGAGAGGGAAAAGCAGGCTTCCGGCTGAGCAGGGCTGCCTCCAGGACCTGGAGATCATGACCTGAGCTGAAGGCAGACGCTTAACCCTCTGAGCCACCCAGGTGCCCCTGGATTTGTCTTTTAAAGCCCTCCCCTCTCAGCAAGAGGGGAGAGCTGGAGTTTGTCCTAAAGGGTAATACAGAGTTAATGTTCTACTGTGCGGATACTATTCCTGTCTCTACCTGGGCCCTTAGTCTGTAGTGAATACAGAGCCTAACAGATTTGTATAATAAAGGATCTACCGTGGGCCTATGAGACGTGCTTTACGATGGCATTGAAAGGCCAAGCTCATCTCTTTTTCAACTTCTGGATAACTTTTTCTTTTTCTTTTCTTTTTAAAAAAAATTTTTTTTAAAGATTTTATTTATTTATTTGACAGAGATCACAAGTAGTCAGAGAGGCAGGCAGAGAGAGAGAGAGGAGGAAGCAGACTCCCTGCTAAGCAGAGAGCCCGATGTGGGGCTTGATCCTAGGACCCTGGGATCATGACCTGAGCCGAAAGCAGAGCCTTTAACCCACTGAGCCACCCAGGCGCCCCTGGATAACTTTTTCTAATACCGCAATTGTGCTCAAGACGTAGCAGCTCCTCCTTCCATTTTGCCCAAGCTCAGGGATGACAAACAACCAAATCCCTTGGTGTTCCTGGCTGTGGAGAACAGGGCAGGCTGTTCGAGGCTAAGTGTGTGCCTGACTTCCACCCAGAGCGGGCCGTCTGGGTTTAAAACTATAATACATATGGGTGTTTTCGCTTAGTAGTTGGGAAATGCCTTTTTTTCTTTTCTTCTTTTCTTCTTCTCCCCACCCCCTTCTTAAAGATTTTCTACCACATTAACATTATTATATTTACAACCCATTTTCCAAGAACCAAACCTGAGTTGACCTTTTTGTTTCTAGAAGTTGTATAGAGTGAGATCTTAATACAGGTCACTTTGACCTAGGACCTATTCCTCAGTAGGATGATGGAGTTTACATTTCAGATTAAAAAAAAAAAAAAAAAAAAAGATGGTTAGGGCTAGGGAAAGCTTTATAGGTGAACTTCAAAGTCCTTAAGGACATTTGTAGGGTTTGAAGCCAGGAGACACACACGTAGTCCCTGGTCAAGTACTTGTACCTTTTCTTATTAAGCATCTTGTCCTTTCAGGAGATTCGATCAGACTGCACACTCCAATCCGCCCAGACTGGGTTTCTTTTTTCAAATTCTTCCTGGTGGGACAGCTTTAGTGTGCCTCACTTATCACACTGGCCTATCTCCAAAGGGGATGTAAGCATGGGCGGAGCTTTGCCATGGCTGGCACATGGTTGGGCTAGTTATGGCCCAAGGACAAGGGTGTAGTGTGCCTGCACCCATCTTCAGTCCTTTAGGACTTACACTGCCGGAATCCTGATCCCAGGGAGCTTCAAGAATGTGGTGGGAGAGGGAGTTGGAGCCTCTGCTTCTTTGTCTCTCAGAGTCTGCTTTTACTCCCTGTGCCTTCTCACCAGCAGCCAGACAGGAGGGGAAGGGGAGAAGGGGTGGGGCCTTTATTAAGATTCACAGTCATGGGCCAGTCATGGAAGTGACTCTGAGCTTACAAGGATGAGGCCTCAGAAGGGAGGAGGTCTCCTGGGAGACTGACAGGATCTGTCTTACCAGCTCAGGATACAGGTGAAGTCACGTTCTCGTTTATATCTGAGTTCATCATCCCTCCGCCCCCATCCCGCTCTCTCTCCTGTTTTCCATCCTGCCTGTCCTGGGTTCCATCTCTCGGGATGCTCATTCATTCTGGGGATTCTCCTTGGTTGCCATTGCCTCCGGGGTTGGGGGGGACCTGAAAACCTGCTGCATCAGCTGAAGAATCACTCGTATTTTTGCCAAAATCTGCAGTGCATTAGCATAGGTTAGAGGATGTCTGTGTCAGGGCCACGGGCAACACCACTTCGGCATTTGCTTCTCCCAGAGGAGAGCAGAAGAGGGAGTCTCTTCTCCTGGCAGCTATACTCAGCTCTGTACTCTTGGGCCTGCCCTGCTGGGGCCATAGCACTTACGTAGCCCCCAAATGAGGGCCTGCAGAGCCACAGTGCCTGGGAAAGAAGGGTGTCGCTCAGCCACATGCCTTGGCCTACCCGAATCTCTGTCCGGGAGGAACAATGGCATTTCCAAGTCTAGCTCCTCATTCTGAACCAGGGATGAGGACACTGGTTGCAGGGGCAGATTCTACATTATACTATGGAGTATAGTGCTTGGCGCAGAGCCTGCGGCACAGGGAGCCCTCACTAAATGGTGGTTGCTGCCCCTGATGGCTAGAGAGCGAGTGGGACAATGCCCGCAGATGCAGAACTAGGCGCTCCATCCCAGGGAGCCAGCCACAGTCTGCAACCATCATTACCTGCCGTCACTGTATTCTCTGTGTTCAACTCTCTTCTGTTACCCCAAGTCTCTGGTGACGTCTTGTTGAAGGGTCCAACTCTTACTTGAGTTATAAGGAGAAGGTTACATGTCCAGGTTTGGAGCAGAGCATCTGTTCACGGGGGAGGGGTTCTCACTCTCACCTTGTAATGATGCCAAAGGAAGCGGAAATTAGCAAGATCCCCAAAGGGAACAGGATTTGGGAAGGAAGGGAAGGTTTTGGAGTCCACTGGGCATGAGGTTAACTGGCCCCTGCCCCCATCCCCCCACAGTAGCTTGTTTTTACTGTCAGGAAGAAGATGCTTTCCCATTCATTAGCTTTTAAAAATCTTTGTAGCAGCCTGTTCTCGGGAAAACTCTATCGAGCACATCAAACAGACAGGAAAGCAAAGGGCCAGTCATTTCCATCACTTCTCACGGTGGATGGACGAGAGGTGGAGCTGAGTGTCAAAGCCAATGGCGTGTGTCCTGCTTCTTTAAGATGCTACACAGTCGTCCATCAGGCCCAGGGATGGCATCTTCATGGTACAGGGATGATTTTTTTTTTAAGATTTGTATCTATTTTATTATTTTTTTAAAGATGTATTTATTTTAGGGAGAGAGAGAGAATCTCAAGCAGATGCCATGCTCAGTGTGGAGCCTGTTGCAGGTCTTGATCTCTCGACCCAGAGATCATGACCTGAGCCGAAATCAAGAGTCAGACACTCAAATAACTGAACCACCCAGGTGCCCCTGGTACAGCAATGATTTTTATTTGGGGATCCTAGAGTATCATTTCATGGAAGGTCATGTCAAAAAAGGAACAACTGATATAGGATATAAATGTCCACATGGTACACGGGACTTAGGAAGATTTTATTCTCTCTTTAGATATGGCTGATTTTCGGAAGCTTTTTGTGAAAGCAAAGCACATAGTCATCCTTTCAGGGGCTGGCGTTAGTGCTGAGAGCGGAGTCCCGACTTTCCGAGGAGCCGGGGGCTACTGGAGAAGATGGCAAGCTCAGGTGAGCCATGTTTCCGGAACACCCTGGGGTTCTTCTGAATGAATCCATGGCAGAGCCTGACTTGGGGCCCGAAGCATGTCGTGGGGGGCAAAGTTCCGAAATTAACCATGACTCTCCCGTCTTGGTTACTTAGGCACCAGTACAAAGTGTGTATGATCAAGGTCTCAGATGTAAGCAAAGCAGCCACTTTCCTTACTTTCTAGATCTGTATAGATTGTATTTATTCACATAACAATTTAAATTTCTTCTAGTAATTAAAGTAGAGTCAGATAAATCTTGGTTAGCATAGTTCGTCACGTTTCTACAGATATTGGAAGTCAGGATTACACATTTTTAAAAACATTTTATTTATTTATTTGAGAGAGAGAGAGTGAGAGAGCATGAGAGGGGAGAAGGTCAGAGGGAGAAGCAGACTCCCCAGGGAGCTGGGAGCCCAACTCGGGACTCGATCCCGGGACTCCGGGATCATGACCTGAGCTGAAGGCAGTTGCTTAACCAACTGAGCCACCCAGGCGCCCAGGATTACACATTTTTTTTAAAGTTTCTGTGAACTTTTCATATTTTTAAAAAAGATTTTATTTATTTATTTGAGAGAGAACAAGAGCAGGGTGAGGGGCAGAGGGAGAAGCAGACTGTCCGCTGAGCAGGAAGCCCTAAGTGGGGCTCAGTCCCGGGACCCTAGACCATGAACTGAGCCGAGGGCAGACATTTAACCAATGGAGCCCCACAGGTACCCCTGAACTTCTCATATTTAAAACCACAGTTGAGGGGTGCCTGGGTGGCTCAGTGGGTTAAGCCTCTGCCTTTGGCTCAGGTCATGATCTCAGGGTCCTGGGATTGAGCCCCATGTCGGGCTCTCTGCTCAGTGGGGAGCCTGCCTCCCCCTCTCTCTCTGCCTGTCTCTGCCTGCTTGTGATCTCTCTCTCCCTGTCAAATAAATAAATAAAATCTTTTAAAAATAAATAAATAAATAAATAAATTTAAATAAATAAAACCACAGATGCACTGTTGAGGCTTAGGGTTTCACATTTAGAACTTTATATGAAGGCCATTAGAATGAAACCTCTATGGGCATGGACTTTTTATTTATTTTTATTTTTTTTTTTTAAAGATTTTATTTATTTATTTGACAGACAGAGATCACAAGTAGGCAGAGAGGCAGGTAGAGACAGAGAGAGGGAGAAGCAGGCTCCCTGCTGAGCGGAAAGCCCAATGCAGGGCTCGATCCCAGGACCCTGGGATTATGACCTGAGCCAAAGGCAGAGGCTTAACCCACTGAGCCACCCAGGTGCCCCGGGCATGGACTTTTTAAAAATTCAGTTTGTATTAAGGCAAACAAGTAAAATAAATAAAATTCAGTTTGTATTGAGGTATAATATGCAGTTGACCCTTGAACAGCACAGGTGTGAATTGTGTGGGTCCACTGACACATGGAGTTTTTTTCTATATATATTACAAAACTTTTTAAAGAGATTTGAAACAGTTTGAAAAAACTCACAAATGAGCTGTGTAACCTTGAACTATCTAAAAATCTAAGAAAAAGGTATGTCACAAATGCGTGAAATATATGTAGATACTAGTCTGTTTTTATCATTTACTGCCTTACAGATTTATTGCAGAAAGTTAAAATTTATCAAAACTTATGCACACAGTGGTATCATTCCAAGGCTAGAGACATGGAAACAAATGTCATGATGCGGTGTTAAATCATAATTACATAAACCGAACTACCGGAATGGTTCCATAGCTGCCTCCAGTTGCTGCTGCGCTGAGCTCAAATGTTGCTGGTCTCTGCTTAAAATACGGTGTGACACTTGTCATCTCCATGTGAGCTGTTTGTCCCTCCAGTAAATTTCGTATTGTAGGAAAGAGTGATCTCTTGGGGTTCTCATTTATTTTTCCATTGTGGATAGTGCAATACGGTCAACCCTGAATCATACCGTGGGGAGGGCCCTGCAAAGTGCCAGTAGTGATGTAGGAAACGCTCCTAAGAAGCAGAGGAGAGTCATGACATCACAAGAAAAGGTTGAATTGCTTGATGTGACCTGTGGGTTGGGGTCTGCGGCTGTGGTTGCCCACCACTTCAAGATAAATGAATCCAGTAAGGTTCATTGGAAAAAAAAAGAAAAGCAAATTCATGAAGTCATTGCCATAGCTATACCAGCAGGTGCAATGACCTGCCATTTAAAAAAGTTCTTTATTAATTATTTTTATTAACATATAATTTATTATTTGCCCCAGAGGTAAATGGTCTGTGAATATTTAGGCTTACACACTTCACAGCACTCACCATATTGTGAAATGCATTTTTTAAAAAATTTACTTATTTGACAGAGAGAGAGATCACAAGCAGGCAGAGAGGCAGGCAGAGAGAGAAGGGAAGCCGGCTCCCTCATGAGCAGAGAGCCCGATGCGGGGCTCGATCCCAGGACCCTGAGATCATGACCTGAGCCGAAGGCAGAGGCCTAACACACTGAGCCACCCAGGCGCCCCGTGAAATGCATTTTTATCTCATCCTGAAAATGCAGCTTTGATGCTGGTTCGGGATTGCTATAAGAAAGGTACACCCACAGACTCTAAGGTGATTTGAGAAAGAGCGAACTTACAGCAGAAAGAAGGTAGAGGATCTAAAGCTGGAGAATTCAGGGCCAGCAAAAGATGGTTGGATAATCTTAGAAAGAGGTTTGGATTAAAAAAAAAAAATAATAATAATAATAATAGAAGTAGCTTCTACCAACCAAGAGGCAGCAGATCAGTTCCCAGGTACCATTAAGAAGATCGCTTTGGAGAGAGTGTGTCTGCCTGAACAGGGTTTTAATACAGACACAGGTGCCCCATTCTGGGGGAGAAAATGCTACAAAGGATGTTGATTAGTAAGAAACAGAAGTGATGGCTGGGATTTAAAGCAAGAAGGGAAAGGCCAATTCTGCGGTTTGATAGAAATGCACTCTGGTTTCTGATCGGGCGGCCCTTATCTATAAAGCTGATAACCCCCGAGTTTTGAAGGGAAAAGAGAAATACCAGCCACTAATCCTTTGATTGTACAAGAAGGCCTGGACTGCAAGAATCCTGTTTCTGGGTGGGTCCTGTCGATGAAGTACCTTGCCAGTAAGGGGACTGCCTTTTAACATTCCTTTGAAATTGGACGACGCCCCCGGCCACCCAGAAGCCCAGGAGTTCAACATTGAAGTTGTCAAACTGGTCTACTTGCCCCTCAAACACATTGTCTCTAATTCAGCCTATAATTCAGGGGGTCATAAGGACTGCTAAGGCTCATGACACACAGTGCTCTAAGGGAAAGGATTGCCAGTGCTGTGGAAGGGAAACCCGGCAGAGAGAACATCGTGAAAGTCTGCACGGATTACACCAGTAAAGATGCAATTGTTGTTAGAGACAAAGCTGCTAAAACCGTAAAGCCCAGAACAACAAATTCCTGTAGGAGAAAACTGCTTCCCGATGTTGTGCGTGACTTCTCAGGATTTACAACACAGGCAATCAAGGAAGCCATGAGAAAGACCGTGGGTGTGGCAGAAAAGGTGGGGGACTAAGGGCTTTAAGATTGGGGCCTTGGGAGCACCTGGGCGGCTGAATCAGTGAAGCATCCGACTCGTGGTTTCAGCTCAGGTCGTGATCTCAGGGTGATGAGATCGAGCCCCGCATTGGGCTCCACGTTCAGTGGGGGGTCCGCTTGAGATTCCGTCCCTCTGCTCCTCCCCCCCCACATGCACAGGCTCCCTCTCTGTCTCTCTAGAATAAATAAATCTTTAAAAAAAGAAAAAAGATTTAGATCTTGGAGAAATTCAAGTGCTAGCAGACACCACGGCAGGGGAATGAACAGAAGATGACTTGATGAAGACGATAGCTTCTGAACCAGTGCCAGACAGAGCGGGGAGGACTTGGAAGCTGCGCAGAAGACAAAGGGACAGTAGATGGCCTGGCAGAAGGGTTCCAACAATCTAGGATGACTTCTGACTTCTTTTCTGACATGGGCTCAGGCACTGACACTAAGGCAAATGGTGGAAGAAGGCTTGGTACCATATGGAACCATTTTCAGAGAAAGGAGACGGCAAAGAAGCTGGACCGAAGTTTCAGTGTATTTCTGTAAAGTTATGCTCAGTGTGCCTGCCTCCCCTCCCACCTCCTCTGCGTCTGCCGCCCACGGGACAGCAAGACCAGCCCTTCGTCCTCCTCAGCCCTCTCAGCGTGAAGGCAGCAGGGCTGAAGACTCCGTGCTGGTCCACTTCATGAGTCATAAATAAGGATCGTGCCATATACTTGATACGCTGGTCCGTTGTGCGTGCGTGTGCGTAAACGTGAGACTCTAACAGCCGTCTGGCAAGAAGCCGTGTCATCCCCATCACCGGCATCACCTAAGAACGCATTGTGTATGTCACAAGCAAGACTTGGACGGAAGCAGCCAGCTTACCCTCACACAGGCGTAAAGCGAATAATATTTAATATAAAATTAATAATGTGTCCCTTTTCTTACTGTTCTATGACTTTGCATTCAAAGAATTACGCTACAGTGCAGTCAACCTCTCTTTCTCCCAAATGGAGAAACTGTATCAACCCATCATCACAGGTAGGTGGTTTTTAAAAAACTGTAACAGTGTTTCTAATACCGCATGACAAATATGACCATAATACCGAATATGCCGTAAAGATACCGTAACCGTTCACGGGCGTACAAGACAAGCTGCCTTGAAGCGAGGTTACCCACTGTACCAGGTACCAGAAAGCCAGCCTCTTCGTTAGCAGCATGTGAATTTTCACACATAGATACGTAGGAATTTTTTTCACCTTATCTTTTATTTGTTTTGATGTCTGCTGTTAGTAATATGTATAACGTCTACAGTGTTTTGTATCCTGTATAAGAATATTGATGTAGGCACTGACAGATGGTTCCTGCTGTAAAGGGACACTGTGCTTTTGGGGTCGATCCCTACTGGACAGCACCGTCCATGTGTGTTCTCTTAGGATTTTCATGACATTTTTTCTAGTGTGCTCTATCGTAAGAATATAGAATCTTTTACATATGACATACAAAATACGTGCTCTTTGACGGTTTCTGTTCTCGGTAAGGCTTTCTGTTGACAGGAGGTTATTCATAGTAAAGTTGGAGAATCAAAAAGTATACACAAGGTTTTTTTTTTTTTTAGGATTTTATTTATTTATTTATTTGACAGAGAGAGAGACAGAGATCACAAGCAGGCAGAGAGGCAGGCAGAGGCAGAGAGAGAAGCAGGCTCCCCACTGAGCAAGGAGCCTGACGTGGGGCTTGATCCCAGGACCCTGAGATTATGACCTGAGCCGAAGGCAGCAGCTCAACCCACTGAGCCACCCAGGCGCCCCGGTACACAAAAGATTTTTGACCGCACAGAGGTCGGTGCCCTTAAGCCCCACATCGTTCAAGGGTTAACTGTACGTACAATAAAACTCACCACTTTGAAGTGTACCATTCAATCCATTTTAACAGACGGAGCCACCACCCACCATCCTGGGCCCAGAATGTACTTTTGGCCTTAGGCACTCTGCTTCCCCCCAACCCCTGGCCTAGGAAATCCCTAGGATTGGAATGTGGAAGGTTCTGTCTGTTTTATCCGTTGCTCTGTCCCCAGCTCCCAGAACTCTGGCACATGGAAGTGCTTGCTAGACTTTTGATGTCTGAACGAAGGCCACTGTAAATAGTTACTTCAGTACGTGAATTCCAAATTTAGGAGGTAGCTTCTTGTTAATGAAGGGTTAGTGAACCTTTCCTGCCCTATTAAGTGCATTAGGCTGACAACGTGTGGGATGTTTTCTCTCCTCTGCTGCCCTCCAGCCTATGGAGGTAGGGGTGGGCATTGCCGCCTTAAAGGTGAAGGAGGGGAGGAAGGAGTGCAGAGGGCCATCAGGGTCCCACGAGAGAGGGGCCACACAGAGCAGTCCCCGAATTAGAGAAGCTCAGTGGGTGCTTCAAGAAGAGAGAGGCAGTCAGTGGTGTCAAAGCAGCTCAGAGTTTGTGGGGAAGCGAAGAAGTCCATAGACTATGTCTGACACCACCGTGTTCCAAGGACACACGTGGACACGTTCCCGTGGCTCCTGCAAAACTGCTTCAGGCCACTCGCATTCTGCACGGAAGGCAGGAAGGTCGTACGGGGTCGTACGTACAATAATCCACAGCATACACGTTTGCTCCCCATTCACTCCCCAAGGGAAGACTGACTCTACTGCTGGATAGAAGGGTGACCTTTACAGCCAAACAAAATGCATAATACCACCACCACCACCATCGAGATATAGACTATTTCTTTTTTTAAAAAAAGATTTTATTTACTTATTTGAGAGAAAGAGGGAGAGAGAGAGAGAGAGACAGCCCAAGTAGGGGGAGAGGCAGAAGCAGACTCTCCACTGAGCAGGGAGCCCAACGTGGGGATTGATCTCAGGACACCGGGATCGTAACCTGAGCCGCAGGCAGATGCTTAACTGACTGAGCCACCCAGGCGCCCCAAGATATAGACTGTATCTTGCCAGAGGTTCCCCTGTGGCCTTTCCCATCAGCTGGCAGCCCCAGACAACAACGATGCTCCTCTCTTTTGCTGTGGATAAGATTTGTCCATCCTAGAAGAGAAATCATCCTTTAAAAATATATTTTATATATTCTGTTAATATATATCCTGTTTTTTATAAGCGTTGTTGTGTGTATGTGTGTAGCTCTACTTACTGTTACAAAAAACTGAGTTTGTCAACTACGGCCATTATACCTCAAGCAGGCACTTCGCATTTTGCTTTTTTTCCTGGATAAATGAATCGACTTCCTATAGTGTGGGGCTCCATGAAAAAGCGGCTTCAACCTGAATCACTTTCTTACAGATTGCTTGACTTCCTGTCCATAACTTCCTTGCCTGGCGAGTGGGACAAGTGGCAATATCCCCGCCCTGGAAGTGGAGAAATTAAAGCTGGTTTCCCGACGGTCCCTTGTTAGTCCCAGGTCTGGGACTCAGGCTGTCCCCGGGCCCCTGTCCCGCATCTGTCGCACCGCATGGGCCTCTGGCAGCCGCGTTCCCCCTTGCTCCCTCCAGAAGCCGCCTGCTTCCGTGTCCCAGAGCATTAGTGCATCCTGGCCTCTGTCTCTGATTCCCGCCTCTTCTCTCCTCCCCACTCCTAGGACCTGGCCACCCCGCAGGCCTTTGCACGAAACCCTTCCCTGGTGTGGGAGTTCTACCACTACCGGCGGGAGGTCATGCTGAGCAAGGAGCCGAACCCGGGGCACCTTGCCATTGCTGAATGTGAGGCCCGGCTGCGCGAGCAGGGCCGACGGGTCATGGTCATCACTCAGAACATCGATGAGCTGCACCGCAGGGCTGGCACCAAGAACCTTCTGGAAATCCATGGTGAGGAGCCCTCATGCCAGGAGGGGAACCAGATTTCAAACCACAAGTCCTGCCATTTCCCTCCAGGGACCCACTGAATCAGAATCTGCATTTTTTTTTTAAGATTTTATTTATTTATTTGACAGAGAGAGATAGATCACAAGTAGGCAGAGAGGCAGGCAGTGGTGGGGGTGGGGAGCAGGCTCCCCGCTGAGCAGTGAGCCCGACGCAGGGCTCGATCCCAGGACCCTGAGATCATGACCGGAGCCGAAAGCAGAGGCCCAGACCACTGAGCCATCCAGGCTCCCCCAGAATCTGCATTTTGATGAGATGCCCAGGGGTCTGGTGTGTGTATTACACAGGGGTGGTGCCCAGCTGGGCTGAGGGGAAATGGGAGGCTGGGGAACCTCCTTTAACAGCAGGGGTCCGGGGATGATGCTGGCATTCCCTGGAGGTAGCCATTTACCTTCCCTTTGTCCCCAGTTGGCTCTCTCCCCTGAGGCTGGGCTTCCGTTCAGCTGGTGAGCACTTAGGGAAGCTGCCAGATCAGTGACCTTCACTGTAGCCAGCCCACCAAGTTTGTCTTATATCCTGTCTGGCTTCCCTTCTCTGCCCTTGATGACATCCTCCTTTTCCCTCATGTCCTCTTTCATCTTCTCTCCCTGCTTGGGGCTCACCAAAACATCTAATAAATTGATTCATACAAGGGCATAAATGGGGTATGCAAGATTTCTTCCCAAGGGCATTTGTGTTTAAGAGCCTACAAAACTTCCATCCCAAGGAATGCATTTCTAATTGTGGAATTTCCAGAAGCAGTGACACCATGGGGAATGTTGCTGGTTTCTGTGGCTATGCAGTGAAGTTGCCCATTTTTGCCTGGGATAATGGCGGTGAAGCAGCCTTCGCTTGGGTCCAGTATCGCTTTTGTGTCCCAGCAGTAGCTGGCCACCCACTGACTGGGTGCCTTGTTGGCACGTTCTTCTACAGGGTCTGTCCATGCGGCTTGTTTCTGTGCAGGTGCAGAATGCACGTGGTGTCCCTTGCCAGGTATAAATGTATCAAGTGGGGATGTTAACACCTCTCTTAGAGTTGTTTCAAGGATTAAATAAGATAATATGTGCATTAGTTGGAACATTGGGGGTTGCAGATTGTTAGAACTCTTCTAATTTAGGTAAAAACAAAAGAAAGCCCTGTCTTCCATCAAACTAAAGATGCTACCACTTTTAAGATGCATCATGCCCAAGACGGGACTCAAACTCACAACCCCGAGACCAGGACCTGAGCTGAGATTGGATGCTCTACCACCTGACACCCCCCCACCAGGAGCCCCAAGATACATCACATTTTTAATGTGACCCTTACAAAGAGAATAGTCTACCCAAACCATGATGTTTTATTATCCCTTAGAATTGTTACTTTGTAGTTATAGAAACAGTTTGTTCAAACTTACTTAGACACAGTTTTATTTATTTATTTTTATTTTGTTCTGTTAGACACCATACAAATTAGTTTTTGATGTCGTGTTCCATGATTCATTGTTTGCATCTAACACCCAGTGCTCCGTGTAGTCTGTATCCTCAATACCTACTACTGGGCCAGCCCATCGCCCCTTCCCTGCCCCTCTAAAACTCTCTGTTTGTTTCCCGGAGTCCATAGTCTCTCATGGTTCGACTATCATTCTGATTTCTCCTCTTTCATTTTTCCCTTCTCCTAATGTCCTCCATGCCATTCCTTATGCTTCACAAATAAGCGAAACCATATGATAATTGACTCTCTCTCTGCTTGACTTATTTCTCTTAGCATAATCTCCTCCAGTCCTGTGCATGTTGATACAGAAGTTGGGTATTCATCCTTTCTGATGGCTGAGTAATATTCCATTGTATATATGGACCATATCTTCTTTATCCATTTGTCTGTTAAAGGGCATCTTGGCTCTTTCCACAGTTTGGCGATTGTGGACATTGTTGCTATGAACATTGGGGTACACATGGCTCTTCTTTTCACTACATCTCTATCTTTAGGGTAAATACCCAGTAGTGCAATTGCTGGGTCATAGGGTAGCTCTATTTTTAATTTTTTGAGGAACCTTCATACTGTTTTCCAGAGCAGCTGCACCAACTTGCATTCCCACCAACAGTGTAAGAGCGTTCCCCTTTCTCCACATCTTCTCCAACACTTGCTGTTTACTGTCCTGTTCATTTTGGCCATTCTAACTGGTGTAAGGTGGAATCTCAATGTGGTTTTGATTTGAATCTCCCTGATGGGGCTAATGATGATGAACATTTTTTCATGTGTCTGTTAGCCTTTTGTGTGTCTTCTTTGGAGAAGTGTCTGTTCATGTCTTCTGCCCATTTTTGGACTTGATTATCTGTTTTTTTGTGTGTTGAGTTTGAGAAGTTCTTTATGGATCTTGGATATCAGCCCTTTGTCTGTACTGTCATTTGCAAATATCTTCTCCCATTCTGTGGATTGCCTCTTTGTTTTGTTGACTGTTTGCTTTGCTGTGCAGAAGTTATTTATCTTTCTGGGAAAATTGGACAGCTGTATACAGAAGAACGAAACTGGACTGTCCTCTTCTACCATACACAAAGATAAACTCTAAATGGATGAAAGACCTCGATGTAAGACAGGAATCCATCAAAATCCCAGATAAGAACATAGGCAATAACCTCGTTGACCTTGGCCACAGCAACTTCTTTCAAGACACGTCTCCTTAGACACTGTTTAAAAAACTATATCACACTTGTGCATATAAAATACAAAAGGGCGCCTGGGTGGCTCAGTCTGTTGAGCTTCTGTCTTCGGCTTGGCAGTGATCCTGGGGTTCTAAAATCGAGCCCCGCATTGGGCTCCCTGCTCGGCGGGGAGCCTGCTTCTCCCTTTGCCTCTGCTGCTGCCCATGCTTGTGCTCACTCTCTCCCTCTCTCTTTAGCAAAAATAAAATTAAAAAAAAAAAACCCACAAAATACGAGTGAATTAAAGTGGGCAGGTGTGCCTCATGAGCCAGCTCGTTGGCTTCTCTTGCAAACAACTCCAAGGCATCGGTGACACCGTGTGTTCCTTGCTCTGTGCCATCCAGGGTATCTGTGACGCAGCGTTCCCCAAAAGGCTGCTCCTCTCTTGTCTCCAGCTTCCCTTCCAAGCTGCTGACACTCATCCTGCAGAGTCCAATCCCGGGCCTCTCTGGCTCTTACCCAAATGTGTCCATGGAAGGTGGAAGGGTTCTGGACAACAGCCAGAACTCTTTGTCCTCCTCACATGGTCCTTCAGTGGTTCTTTGGCTGAAACAGCCGGGGCTGGCCTTTGTTCCATCAGGCCCCTGAGACTACCGGATTAGGTACCATGATTGGGCCAGTCTGGAGCCAGGGCCTAAGCTTGTATCTTGGGATGGGATGGACAGCTCCTTCCGCTCAGCATGGGGAAGAAGAGAAATGGCTCCCCGAGGAGGGAATGGTGGACGGAATGGAGCGACACATGTCCACCCTGGCGTGTGGCGGGCTCAGCGCGGCGCTGGACGCAAGGCGAACATCTGGTGAATTACGGTCACGTTACCGGCTCCTCAAGAAATGGTCACTGGTTTTAACAATTATTGGCTTATATACTAGTAGATTTATGTATTCACGGAGCTGCTTTTGTATAAAAGTCAAAATTTGTTAGGTCGAAATGAAAAGTTTGCAAATACATCCAAGGTAGGGGACCTTTATCAACCATGTACTTGGTAAACCACGCCCTTGGGTTCACTGTAGCTTCATGTGCCATAACGACCACTTCAAATGCAGCTGCGCATTGAGGTCATTCAGGAGCCGCTTCATCATGGAGTAAGGGATTTTATGTCTCTCCCTTCCGGATTGCAGGGTCCAGGAGGCAGGTGCCCTCGGCTGGCTTAGGACCGCTGCCCGCCTTTGTGTTTCCCTCGAAACCTAGGGCAGCCCCATTTGCTAATGTGGACCCATAAAAACTCAGTTATTTTATATCCCCTCACAGAGACAATTGCTGTTGATTATACTAAACTCTGGTCTCATTTAATTCGTGTTTTTCAGGTAGCTTATTTAAAACCCGCTGTACCTCTTGTGGCGTTGTGGCTGAGAATTACAAGAGTCCCATTTGTGCGGCTTTATCGGGGAAAGGGTAATTATACTGCTCTCCGGGACGAGTGTGTGTTGTTTTCTCTTTTCAGTTGAACATAAATGTAAGGAAATCGAATGGTAGCCTAGGATTCCCATGGATATTTGTGAAAAATAAGACTAGACACAGTACAGCCATCTGATAAATTGCTTGGGGCACCTGGGTGGCTCAGTGGGTTAAGCCTCTGCCTTCAGCTCAGGTCATGATCTCAGGGTCCTGGGATCGAGCCCCACCTCGGGCTCTCTGCTCAGCAGGGAGCCTGCTTCCCCCTCTCTCTCTGCCTACTTGTGATCTCTGTCTGTCAAATAAATAAATAAAAATCTTAAAAAAAAAAAAAAAAAAAAACCTTCCTCTCAAAGTTTACAATGCTAAGAAAAAACCACACAACCCCACTGTTACCTCACATGTTCCCAACACACACACACACACACACACACACACACACACACTCACACACTCACACACCCTTCATGTTGATATATCTATATACAGGTAAAAAATACAATGAAATATTAACAGTAATTATCAAGAATGGTGGGATTATGGGAAATTTTGATTTCTTCTTTACCACTCTCTAGACTTTTCTAACAATTCTGTGATGAACATGTACTATTATTATAATTAAGGGGAAAAATAAGAATATACTTGGAATATTGAGAAAAATTTTACCTGGCCATTTTAAGTCAGTATAAATCATAAAAGTAATATATTAATACATATCAGTGTGGAAGAGTCAAGTCATGATGACATATACAATGCATGTCATTGGCTTCCCGGTGGCTCACCCCCTCCCCACATGCAAATTCTTTCTCTTGAGTAAAACCTCCAGTGGCTAATTGTTTGTTGTCTGTCCTTCTTGGGCCCCTCTAAGTCAGCATGTACTAATTATAGGTTTTGAACTGTATGCTGCCGGGAAAATATGCAGATTTATTGGGTTATATTATCTCTTTGTTCTTTGATTATACCAATGACATTGTTTCTTTCTAATACCGCTTGCTTCAGTGCTCCAGACCCCGAAGCTCAAGATGCCGGAATCCCAGTGGAGAAACTTCCCCGGTGGGTAAAACAACATTGATCCATGGGTTTCCCAGAGTGCAAAAAAAAAAAAAGAAAGAAAGGAATCAAAATCTAAGTTCATTTTGTGAGGTGCCTCTTAATTTTTTTTTTAAAAGATTGTTTATTTGAGAGAGAGTCAGCATACATGAGCGCAGGGAGGGGCAGAGGCAGAGGGAGAGGCAGGCTCCTGGCTGGGCCCAGAGCCTGATGTGGGACTCGATCCCAGGACCCTGAGATCATGACCTGAGCTGAAGGCAGGCACTTAACCAACTGAGCCACCCAGGTGCTCTGTGAGGTGCTTCTTTTAACCTTTAGGTGCCAGTGCAGAAACCAGCCCTGACCTATGAGGCCAATAGTAAAAGGGTAAAGGTGAACCAAAGCAGGGTGAGAACTCCTTTCTGGTCTCTTTTTGCTTTGTGTTGTGGTGGGAGAATTTGAGGTCTGGGAGGTTTCTGGAGCTGGTAGGCTGCAGATACATATCTGGTGTGTGTAAAGCATATTATCTTCATCCTTCTTGTCGTCCTCAGTGTTATCAATCCAGGGGAAAAGGAGGTAGTAAAAAAGGTCTTGAGAAGGTGAAATTACAGGACCAGACAGGATTTTCACATTACGATAAACCCTGGAGAGACTTATTCTCTCAGGTTTCCCAAACCAGATGTTACCACAGTGGTTCCTAAAGTGTTTCATAGAGCACTAGATCCATGCGACGTTGATAGGCATTACTTGAAAAAAAAAAATTATGTGCTCCAATAAATACGGAAGCCACAGATTAAACAAAGAGTAAATTTGCTTTCCTGTGGGACTTCTCAGAACATTTAATATGTGAAGTACACTGTTCCTCCTTAAAAAGTGGTTATAATATATTAATATTTTACCAGCTTATTTAACTACAGAACCCTTTTTATGATTCTTAGTCAGGATTTTTATTACCGAATTCTAAAGTTTGATATAAAACAATGGGGAACCCTGAGCAGTTCTTGGGGGAGATTATTAAAATGAAAAGGATGTTTGGGGGATTATTTTAGAAGGTTTATATAAGATGACCTAGAGGTAGGAGGGAGTGAAAAATGAGAAGGTTTTGGCAATGGACGCTGGAGAACTTGGCTGTGGTCAGGGCAAGAAAAAGGTGAATCTGGGGAAACAGGAAAGGAGGTCATCGATGAGACCAGCTGGTGGTTGGGGTGTTAGAGGCAGGTCTGAGCCTGGTTCCACCCAGGCAGCCACACCGATGCGTGTGGTGAAGTAGCTGGGAAAGAGAAAGCTGCTGTGCAAACCGCATATCCAGGGGCGCCTGGGTGGCTCAGTCGGTTAAGCGGCTGCCTTCTGCTCAGGTCATGATCCCAGGGTCCTGAGATCGAGTCCTGCGTGGGGCTCCTTGCTCAGCGGGAAGTCTGCTTCTCCCTCTCCCTCTGCCTCTCCCCCTGCTTGTATGCTGTCTCTACCTCTCTCTCTCTGACAAATAAATAAATAATCTTTAAAAAAAAATCCAGCTGCGTCAATGTTGGAGATCAGTTGGCTTTCTCCGAGCTTCGCGGATCAGGCAGCATCCCATCTCGCAGACAGAAAGGCGCTCCAAGGAGCCACACACAATGGAAGACTCTTATAGGCCGAGGGAGGCAGGGCGAGGAAGTTTTTCTGGCAAGGAGGGAACCGTTTCAGATGAGGTCACCTTCCTTCAGGGGACCCAGGGGTGTTTCAGTGGCTTACCCCGCTAGTGCTGACCGGGTGGTTCCACACTGACTGGTGAGAGGTCACATTCCCTGGAGAGTCTGAAGCTACAGGTTAGGTAGTAAGTTCTGGTTTGCTGATGTGGGGCTTAGCACAAGGGACTCCATTTTTGGGCCTGTTAATCTTTTGAAACACTGTTTAGAAAGGGAATGTGAAAGTTGGCCAAAATACATGTGTCAACACATGAGCCCCGTGCATCTAGACAAAATAAAAACTTGATGAGGGCCATTAAAATGAGTAATTTCTATCCAGGATAAGCTCACATGGTCTGGTAGGGGAGGAACAGAGGATAAGAAGGATCAGAGCCACCCAGCTGGACAGCCTGGTTTTGGAGTAGCCCCTAGCCTTCCTGTGACCCACCTAGGCAGACCTGGCGGGGCAGGTGTTGGGGTTGGGTGAAGGACGATGTTCTTACAGGTGCGAAGAGGCCGGGTGCGGGGGTCTGCTGCGACCCCATGTGGTGTGGTTTGGAGAAAACCTGGATCCTGCCATTCTGGAAGAGGTTGACAGAGAGCTGAACCTCTGCGACTTGTGTCTAGTGGTAGGTCATTCCCTTCCCCGATCCTTGAGATTTTCTGGAACACCAGTACTGGGGTGGAGTTTGGTATTTCTTTCCTCCCTCCCGCCTTCCCCCTCCTCCCTTCCTTCTCTGTTCCCTTTCCTTCCTTTCCCCTCTGAATTTGTGTGTTGAGAGGTCTTGTGGTACCCTACAGAAAAATGAAGAAACAAAGAATACGAATTGATCTTAAATGCACAACTATGCAAGACTGTGTCTTAGGCTTCATGAAACCTCTTTCCACCAAAAAAAAAAAAAAAAAAAGCATGTTATTACTTCTGATTTTGAAAGTACTACATGCTCATTATTAAATTTGAGAAAATACAAACAAGCACAAAATTGTGAAGAGGAAATTCGAAATCCCCAATAACTCTACCATCCAGAAATAGCCACAGTTAGCATCTTAGTATATTTCTTCTCGAGATCAGAAGTGAGAAACTGCGGCCTGTGGGCCAGATCTGGGCCACCACTTGTTTTTGTAAATAAAGTTTTATTGGAACACAGCCATATCCATTCTTCTGGGTCATCTCCTTCTGCCTTCACTCTAACGGCAGAGTTGACTCTTTGTGATGGAGACTCTGGCTTACAAAGCCTAAAAAAATTACTATCCGGCCCTTTCCTTGCCCATCCCTGGGCTAGATATTTTCTTATGCAGATGTATGCATATAGTTTAAAATTAAAAAATGGCTTCAGATTATATGCTCTGTTTTTTTAAAATTCTATCATACTTTGTATTTTTTTTCTGAAAATATGTTCCCATCTCAAAAGTAACTTAGAGAATTGAAATAGGAATTTAGTCCTATAATTTCTGCATTTAAATGAACCAGGATCATTTATAGATGGGAGGAGTCATCTGCCAGTATTTAAATCAAAAATATTTTTATATGCTCTGTTTTGAAACAACTTTACACACGTATATTCCTTGTCAGTCCGTTCACAAATCCTCATCATCTTTTAACTCGCTGCATGGTGTCCTGTTGCTTGATATAAAAGGAGATATTTAACGAGTTATCTGTTTTTGGACATTTAGGCCGTTTCCATTTTTATATTTTAAATAATGCTAGGGTGAATTGTCGTAGACATAACTTCTTAGCATGTTCTTCAGATCCTTTACTTAGGACACATTTTCCTAGAAGTGGAATTAATTGGACAAAGGGTATACGTATTTCAGAATTTCTAGAACGTGTCTTTAGAAGCAGAAGGATTTTCTCATGGATTCACCTGGCCGGTACTGTTGAGCTCATGCCAGTGTCGTGGCCATGTTCATGACCGATGGTCACTTGAGAAAAGCTGGTTTGTCCAGCATGTTCTGGTCTTTCCTTTCTTGGAAAGCACATTTGTAAATACGTGTTCGTAGGGAAAAACCTGAAAGAATATATATTAAAATGTGAACCATGGTTATCTTGGGGTAGCAGGAGGATGACATGTATGTATTTTTTCTTTGCATTTTCTAATGTTAAAAAAAAACAAAACATGGATTATTGCCATCACCTCCCAGAGCAGAAACAAAACTGAGTCATTCATCTGCCATTCTCTCCATTTGTACTGCTTTTCTTCTAGCACATTCGTCTAGTGGTCAGCCGAAAGGATGCCTTCCAACTTCCCCATCTGTCCCTTGGAAGCTCCCCATTGAGCCCACCCAGCTTAGCTTCCCTCACATCTGTAACCACAAACTGGCCTGAGTTTCTGTCAGGTTTTCTGAAAGAATGTTCCTTCTCCCTGGAATGTGGTCATTTGTCCGTTTCCATTCGTTTGCTTTGTAGGTGGGAACTTCCTCCGTGGTTTATCCTGCCGCCATGTTCGCGCCCCAGGTGTCTGCCCGGGGAGTGCCAGTGGCCGAATTCAACATGGAAACCACCCCGGCCACCAACAGATTCAGGTACGGGGAATACCAAGGTGGGAGACAGAAGTCACCGAGCTGGTTTGGATATGTCGTCTGAGCAGATGTTACCTACTGTTCTCGTTCAAAAAAAAAAAGACACAAAGTTTATGTTTTCTAATTTGGTCTATAGGTGCTGCTGCTTTTTTTTTTTTTTTTAAGATTTTATTTATTTATTTATTTGTCAGAGAGAGAGGGAGAACACAAGCAGGCAGAGCAGCAGGCAGAGGCAGAGAGAGAAGCAGGCTCCCTGCTGGGCAAGGAGACCAATGCAAGACTTGATCCCAAGACCCTGGGATCAGGACCTGAGCCGAAGGCAACGGCTTAACCATCTGAGCCACCCAGGCATCCCTGGTCTATAGGTGCTTTGATTGAAGAACAAAATATCGGTAACTATAGATGAAGGCAGCCATGTCTTTTTCCAGGGGATTTGCCTTAGGGCTCTTGTTCACACTTGGAAAGTTCTTCTGGAATGAACATTTCACTTGTATTTTTCAGCAAGAGTTGGTAGCGGCATTAGGTGTGGGTGAGTTGAATACCCAGCGCACAGCCGGGGTGATGTCCCTGTGGGCCTTCCTCCTTCATCACCCGCTGTGCCCCCAGGCAGTGGCCCGGTGAGCGCCTCTTTGGTCTCATTACCAAACACTCGCCGAATTACCAGATAGCCTCAGGATCGCTATTTGGGGCTGCGTCATGGTGCTGATGCTGTCTCTCCTATTTGTGTGGAAAGTGGAGACCCTCAGACTATGCGTTTTTTGTCTCATTCTGAGTTCGATTTTATCGTCCCCTTCATTTTGCTTACTTTTTGGACCCTGGTTGTTTTATCTTCCCGTTTAATTTCATTTATATATTTTTATCAGTCTGCTTACTTCCTTTCTAAGGTAGAATATAAATAACTCATAAAGAAATGTGAATATCATAAATAGTATAAATATCATTTTAAATATTATAAACTTAAATTTATAATTTTAATACTTTTATAATAAAAATGTATAGTTTGAAATTATTATCAATAAAATGTAAGTCTTGACTGAAACTTGTTATCATTACGTAAAGCAGTGGTTGTTACCTCAGCTACATATTTAAAAATATGGCTGGGTACCAAGTGTGAGATTCTGATGTAACTCCTCCGGTGGAACCTGGCCATCACAATTTCCAGGAACTTCCTAGATGAGTCTACCATGCAGCCAGGATGAGGCCCAGCATCCTGAGTCTTCACAGGGATAAAAAATGTGCCACAGACTCTGGAAATGCCCTCGATGACCCCCTTTGGGTGAGCTGGCTGAGTCTAATCTCCTCCGCGTCTTTTTAATCAGTACCGTTTGTGTCCTTGGCCCGCTTCTTCATTTGTGTGTAAGTGGTAGGAACGAGGAGGACATCCCTTTAGACGACTGCCTTCTATGTAAAACAGATTCTTTGAAAACTGTACAGTGAGATAAATGAAAAGATCTGAACACGAGGAAGGACACTGGTGTCCGTGGACCAGACGACATCATAATGTCAAGGGGGCGGTACTCCCTGAATTGATTTACAGATACGGCTGGTCTCCACCCACAGTGCAGCTGGCTTCTTGGCTAAAACCGGCAAGGTGATCCTAAACTTCATATGGAAATGCAAGGGGCCCAGAAGAGCCAAAACAAAAAAGAAGGATGAAGTTGAAGAACTCACACTTTGCAGTTTCAAAAGTTACTACGAATTTACAGTCATCAGGACAGCATAGCGCTGGTGTGAGGATAGACATACAGACAGGATTTAGAGTCCAGAAATAAACCCTCAGTGTGGGGCACCTGGGTGGCTCAGTGTGTTAAAGCCTCTGCCTTCTGCTCGGGTCGTGATCCCAGGGTTCTGGGATGGAGCCTCGCTTCAGGCTCTCTGCTCAGCACGGAGCCTGCTTCCCCCTCTCTCTCTGCCTGTCTCTCTGCCTACTTGTGATCTCTGTCAAATAAATAAATAAAATCTTAAAAAAAAAAATAAACCCTCAGTGTATGGCCAACCAATTTTTGGAAAGCATCTGAAGGCAATTCAGGGAAAGAGTAGTCCTTTTAACAAATGGTTCTGGAATGGCTGAATTGCCACCTACAGAAGAATGAAACTGGACTCCTTCTTCATACCACGTGCAGAAATTAACCCAAGTGGATCATGGATCTAAATATAAGAGCTGAAAGTATAAAATACTTTCAAGAAGATATAGGAGTAAGTCCTTATGACCTCGAGTTAGTCAAAGCCTCCATGACGTGACATCAAAAGCGCAAGTAACATAAGAAAAATGGGCAACCTGGCTTTCCGTCAGCATTAGAAACCTCTGTGCTTCAGTGGGAGGAAATACTTGCAAGCCTAATATTTGATATGGGACTCGCATCCGGAATAGATCAAGAACCCTCACAATTCAATAATAAAAAGAGAAGTCGTCCAATTTAGAAATGGGCTAAATATTTGAATAGACATTTCTCCAAATATATATAACACAGTCAATAAGCATATTGAAAATATGCTGAACATTGTTAAAATTAGGGAAGTGGAAATTAAAACCACCTGAGATACCCTTTAACAACCACTGGCATGGCTATAATTTAAAAAAAAAAAAAAAAAACCAACAAGTGTTGGTGAAGAAACTGGCCCCTGATCCGTTGCTGGTGGAAAGGTACAATCATGCCAGTGCTTTGGAAGACAGTCCGGCAGTGCCTCCAAAGGTTACATGCAGAGCTAACATAAGAACCCATGATTCTCATAGCAGCACTGTTCATCATAATCCAAGAGTGGGAACAATACAAATGTCCTTCATCTGATTAGTGGATAAAGGAAATGTGGTATTTATACAATGGAGTATTAGCCAGAAATGAATGACGTACTCATCCATGCGACATGAATGACCCTTGAAAACATTATACTAAGTGAAAGAAGCCAGACACACAAGACCACAAATCCCATGATTCCATTTATATGAGATATCCAGATATCGACAGGGACTCAGAGTGGATGAGAGGTTGTCTAGGGTTGGGTAGGGAGGAATGGAAAGTAGCCGTTAATGGGGACAGGTTTCCTTTTGGGGTGATGAAAGTGTTCTAAAGTCGATTGTGGTGATGGTTGTACAATTTTGTGAGTATACTAAAAAAAAATTAAATTATACATTCTAAACAGATTATATGTGAATGGCATCTCAATGAAGGTGTCCTGTTAAAAATTAAATTCTCTTCTAACTTATCCCCTGAAAAATAGACATGAGGCCTCTAATATGCACTGTGGCAGCTAGACTAGTGTGCTTATGTTAAAAATAAAGTAAAAGTAATGTCATAGCCAGGCAACTCAAGCCCCTCATCTGTTTGAAAGAGCATCAGAATCCTCCAAGAGTGGGACGGCATCAACTTCCTAAAGGAGGGAATGAGCTACATCCCTAGTCCCTTCTCCTGTGGTTTATTTTTAGTCCTGTGTTCTCCAGCTCTCCTCTACTAAGTAATGAAAACAAATCATCACGGTAGAAAAGTAACAAAACGCAGGTAGGGGAAAAAGAAGAAAATAAGAGCAGAATCCTTCTACAAGCCCCATCCTTCTACAATCCGCCTTTCATGCCCTGGACTGAGCAGCAGCTCCTGGGCGTCCGCTGTGTGTGTCTTCAGAGGAAATTGAACTTGGTAGTTTTCCTGCAAGTTAAGAAAAGAATCCTGGCAGTTAAGGACATCATTTCGTAAGTTTGGCCTCCTGAAACTACAGACCTGACCCAGCCGCTTCTCTTTCTCAGCCAAAACTGTTCAGCTTCACGTCCTGAAAAGCTGCTGTGTCTCCTTTCAGACAGACCGGCTACTTGCTCGTTAGAAACTTTGATCAAATTTGACAAGCTACTCATTGACCCGGCACCAACGACATGAACCACGTTCTGTCTGTTGGCTTCTTGGGGGAGCTGCGGCTGTCCTTACCACTAAGTCTGGGAGTTTTCCCAGATGAGTGTAACTGACCAGCAAGGACAGTCGTGCTTTTATCTAGGAGTCATCAAAGCTGACATTTACAAGAGATGGAGGTGATCCTCTTACCTGTCTCAACTTTTCAGACAGGGAACCAGGCCCAGAGCAATTGTTTGAACACACAGCCTAACAAGGGCAGAATTTTCTCTTCCATCTCGTGTGCTAGATTTGGGTTGAAATTTACGCTAGGTCAGCAAACTGCTTCCTGTACGTCAAATTCACCCCGCATCTGTGTTTGTTTGTTTGTTTAAAGATTTTATTTATTTATTTGACAGAGATTGCTAGTAGGCAGAGAGGCAGGCAGAGAGAGAGGAGGAAGCAGGCTCCCTGCTGAGCAGAGAGCCCAATGTGGGGCTTGATCCCAGGACCCTGGGATCATGACCTGAGCTGAAGGCAGAGGCTTTAACCCACTGAGCCACCCAGGCACCCCCCGCATCTGTGTTTGTAAATAAAGTTTTATTGGTACTCAGACACAGCCACGCATACCTGTATTGGCCACGGCTGCTTTTGCACCTGCAACAGCACAACTGAGTCATTGCAACATACCCTGCTGGGCCTGCAAAGCCTAAAATGTGTTCTGTGGCTCTTTAGAGAATGCAGTTCGCCAACAACTGCTCTAGGTTAATGAGAGCAATGAAAATGGGATAATACGTCTTTTTAACCTAATTTCCTTTTTACCTGAACAGGGAGCGGGGATGCTGCCTACACTTTAAGCTTGGATCTCACTGGACATCCGAGACCCTTGCTCAAATTGTTTATAGATTCCTTGCCCCAGTTCTAATTTAGAGACAGAGTCACAGAATTTGCCTCCCACTGAAATGTATTGATATTTTCAAGGTGTTAATTAGTTCTGGTTTGGCTTTTGTCATTTTCCCATCCCCCTTCGTTGTCTCGGGGGAGTTCGATCAGCCATTACGGTTAGAGTAGATCCTAGGTGTTTGCAGATTGGGTGTCAAGGTTTTGACTGTTGTTCAGCCCCAGGGTCCTTGGTACATGAGGGTCTGTGCATTTGCTGAGGCAGAAATGGGATTTGTGCTCACCCCA